GGCGACTTCCAGTGCGCCTCGAGCGGCCGCTGCCTCCCCGCCGTTCACCGCTGCGACGGACGAGAGCAATGTGACGACGGCAGTGACGAGGATGACTGCAGTAAGCTCAAGCTGACTTCAGGGGCTATATATTATGGCAAATTATCAGAATTCCTCTATCAGATAGGATTCCATCTCTCTCTCCTAACAATGCCCCGATGCCTTTGACTCAGCGGAGTGTGCCGAGGGCCTCTTCCAGTGCGGGGACGACACCTGCCTCCCTCTCCACCTGGTCTGCGATGGCGAGGAACACTGCGACGACGGCGCCGACGAAGCGGATTGCTGTGAGTCATGCTGCTTACTCCAGCAAAACACACTCACACACAAACTAACACACACACACACACACACACACACACACACACACACACACACACACACACACACACACACACACACACACACACACACACACACACACACACACACACACATACACACTCCCATCTCTCTCTCTCTCTCTCTATATATATATATACATACATATATATATATATACATATATATATATATATATATATATATATATATATATATATATATATATATACATACATACACACACACACACGTGTGTGTGTGTGTGCTTGTGTGTGTGCTTGTGTGTGTGTGTGTGTGTGTGTGTGTGTGTGTGTGTGTGTGTGTGTGTGTGTGTGTGTGTGTGTGTGTGTGTGTGTGTGTGTGTGTGTGTGTGTGTGTATCACTTAACTGACTTGAAAAGAAAATATAGGGTACGGAATTACGTACCTAGTATCCGACACTCAAAAACTGTGTTGTGGATGTAGAAAAAAATTAACGTCCGTGAAGCAAGTAATCTCTGACATTTCCGGCCCTGGATTTAGGGTCGTGGAGCAGCGAGTGTCCGGACAGCCTGCACTACGTCTGCTCCTCTGCTTTCTGGTCCGAATACTGCCTTCACCCGCGGTTCGTGTGCGACGGCGTGACCGACTGCTGGGGTTGGGAAGAACAAGACTGCTGTGCGGATATACTTTTTGCATTTACGTCTATATATTCGTTCTCTTGTCAATCATATTTGCGATCTTACTGAAGCTGCGTTATAGATTATCATGGTTAAAAATGATATAACACACACCAAAGTTTAACAAACTCCTTCCTCAGATGAGTGCAGTGAATCAGCGTCCTCCTGCGGTGATGGGACGTGCCTGCAGAAGTCCCAGTGGTGTGATGGGCAAGACAACTGTGCCGATGGACGGGACGAAGCGAACTGCAGTGAGTGTTACAGTATGTTAGCCGATAACGTAAATTCTGTTGGATAATCCCTATCTCTTTGTATCACTTGGGTATGATTGTCGCAGTCTATGCAACTAGCATATGATCGCTTCCACAGCAGCAGGGTGCCAAGGGTTAGGCCACCACTGCGAGGGAGACGGCAGATGTATCAGCTTATCCCTCGTGTGCGATGGCCACACACACTGCGAAGATGAATCAGACGAGGCGGACTGCGGTAGGTCGTTCATCGTGATTCATTGATAGTAAAAAGATTTCATTAACATTTCAAAAAGCAAACTCAGGATGCTGAAAGACCTAATACGTTATCTAGCGTTGCTCTGTTTATTTTGACGTAACACCAAATAGCATTTGGCATTTTTTATTAAAGTTTAAATAGAAAGGCTGGGTAACGCAAGAACCAGATTTAAAGTTGACGGAGTTATCAATATCTACCTGCGCACTAGCTCACTTCAGAATAGTCAATATACACGGCTCCCTCAGATACCATAAAATCATTAATTCATCTGACACAAACCCTGCCGCCAGATGAAGGCTGCAGCAGCGAGGAATTTCAGTGCAACAATGGCCTATGTGTTAGCAAAAGTTTTACGTGTGATGCTGTAGAGGACTGTATTGCTGGAGAGGACGAGAGGGATTGTGGTTTGTATGGCTTCCATTTGGTTTATTATACTGTTAAGATTACGCGGGCTGAAGACAGCAAATGTGTGGTCTAGAATGATCAGGAGCTTTATTTCCAAATTCATTACAAACCCGGTCACAAAAAAAAATACATTCTGACTGTTTCAAAGTACATTTTCTTATTTTATGGCACACACTTAGTACATTTCACGATTTTTTCTACATTATAGAATCCTGCGCTCCTCGGCGTTTCCATTGTGAAGAGGACAACATATGCATCCATGAGCATTACGTATGTGACGAGGTTTTGCACTGTTCGAATGGCAGTGACGAGTTCAACTGCGGTGAGTGGCTTCCTGTGTGGTTTTAGTATTATTCTCATTTCATAATTTTTATATTTGAAACCATAATCATTTTCAGTACTAATGTCATGTCTTCCGTATTCTCTCATTTATTTTTTTGAGGTTTTGTTGATATATATTTCCGCAAAAGCTGTGGATTATACATATAATGAAGGAGTGACGTCTGTGACATTCGTCCTGAAGTCGTATGTCTAATATAATTAAATTTCCTTACCGTTGTTAGTTCCCATTCATTTCAGCTTACTGATAAACGTGACACCTTAGACTGTTCTCAGTAAACTGGCGTTTTACTTTACAGATTTAGAAAACGGAGTCAGTCTATTGTGTTTATTATTTGTTATACAGTTTAAGATAACGCATCTTGTTATTCATATCAAGATTAAGAATTTGATTCTGTCCTATAGTTTAAAGTCGTGTATTTAACTTTTTACGAGCATTTTGTTTGTTTCTTCGTTTAAAATTAAGTATCTAATGCTGATATATTAGAAAAAAAGCGAATATTTCGCTTTGAAAAGACTCGCCATCTTTAAATATCAATTAACACGTCTGTAATCACTTATTTCAGCAAGAGCCTGCCCGCATGGTTATTTCACATGCAACAGTGGATTGTGCATCCACGGGGCATTCCGCTGTGATGGCGTGAACGATTGTCGGTATAATGAGGACGAGTTAAACTGCGGTGAGTAAACAGTTGCACTAGTTTAACTTTTCATATGATCCATCACAAAGGTCTCCACATGTCTCGATATTGATAATATACTTAACCGAGAATGTTACTGTACTTACTATAGTATATTTAACCATATCAACACAAACAGTACCCAGCACATAGAAGCTTCCTACTATACTCTTGTTAAGACGTCTTTATCCTTATCGCGACAGACGCGTGTGTGGGAGACGCGTTCCTCTGCCCTGAGGGCCGCTGCCTCCCTGCCTACATGCGGTGCGACGGCGAGCCAGAGTGCGACGGCGGCGAGGACGAGAGGGAGTGTAGTAAGCATGAACATCCTCACGCAGGGATCCCTTTTTTTAGAACTTTTGTTTGGAAATCTAAAAATCATTTGACAACAAAAACGGTTTTTCATTTCCTGGAGCTAAAGAAATAAGGTTGAACGTGTCTTAGAACTGTAATTTCATGGTCACTATTATGTTCATGTAAAATTAAGGATATATTAGTGTCCAACTGTCTGAAGAACACATGATTACAACTACCCTTTTCTCTCAAGGCGGATGTCGACGTGGAGTATTATGTGAAGTCGAGATGATGCTCACTTGTTTGCCAGAAAAAAATATTTGCGACGGAAATATAGACTGCGCCTCCGGTGTTGATGAGATGATGTGCTGTGAGTATATACTGCGAGGCGGGTGTGTGTCATTCGCTTCCTGTTTCTCGTCTTTTCGTAGTACATCATCATGATTCATGGGCGTCTCAGTATTATAGCGCACTTTCAACTCCCTCAAAGATTAATAATTTTTCTTACAAAATAACAATCTGATATTACAGGATAACATACAGAAAATATACTACATTCAAGTATCCATGCTAAACAGACATTAACTATAACAGGTGATGTTCCAGAGATACAAAAGTAAAAAATGTTAAAGACACATTCAACAGCAAAACAGAACCCTTTCTTAAAACTAGCTTACAACCCGGCAGCCCAGTACTTGGTGGTATGTCCCGCGGGTTACTTCCAATGCAACGACAGCAGATGCATCCGAGAAAGATACAAGTGTGACGGACTGAATGACTGCCCATTGGGAGAGGACGAGGAAGACTGTGGTAAGATTTCTGAATCTTTTGTTTGTGCTTTATATTACCATATCGGAAAACATAATACTCATGTCCAGTGATACTGGACAAGTCTTTATGAAATTCAGGATGTCCTATTACCAAGAAGAGTAATTAAAAAAGTACAAAGCCAACTCTGTGCAACAACCAGACGCGTGTGTTGACGGAGGACAACTGTGCGAGGAGGAGAGGCGGTGTGTGTCGGGGCCAGTCCCTTGCTTCGACGAGGCGCTTTGTTCAGCTCCGTTCCAGCCTAACTGCTGTGAGTTCTGATTGTGTTTCGATTTAGTTATGATCTGTCTCTCTGTCGTCCTCTCTCTTTCGCTCTTCTCTTTTTCATTTCTATTTCATTTCACTTTCTCTCTTTCTGTCCTTCTTTCTTTTTCGCTCTTCTCTCTTTCATTTCACTTTCATATAATTTTCATCTTTTTCTCTTTCTCTTATCTCTCTCACTGACTTTCTGCCTATATACCTCTCTCTCTCTCTCTCTCTCTCTCTCTCTCTCTCTCTCTCTCTCTCTCTCTCTCTCTCTCTCTCTCTCTCTCTCTCTCTCTCTCTCTCTCTCTCTCTTTATATATATATTTTTTTTTTCAACAGCCATTCATTCCACTGCAGGACATAGGCCTCTCTCAATTCAGTATTGAGAGGTTATATGGCAGTGTCACCTTTGTCTGATTGAATGCCCTTCCTAATTAGTTCGGCGCGTAAACACTTGCCACGGCGGTGACTTCCCCTACGACACCTGCGTTTGACTTCTCAAGCCGATATGTCGTTTTCTCGGGCTCGAGTCAGCAATCAGAGCGCAGGCATTTTTACGACTGCTGCGACGGGGAATTGAACCCGGGACCACGAGGGTCGGAGTCCATTGCTCTAACCACTGAGCTATCGCGGCAGTCTCATTATATATATATATATATATATATATATATATATATATA